TTGCCACACACCATCACATTGAAAAAATGGTGGCAGGATGCTTTGAACTAAAGCTAATCGGACATGTTTTATTTCAAAGTGCACAGCTGCCATTTTGTCAGCGTAGAGGCGCACAATGACACTGATACATGTAATGTGCAAAGCTGCTGAAGCACATCAATTTCTGTGCTCCAACAGACTCAATTAATCAATTAATTGAGTCTGCTCTGATGCTTTAGATCTCCAAGCTCATCATAGCTGGCTCCTCACATGTGCATAGGAGCCCAAAGTGTGCTTTTGCTAATGTGCATTAAAATAGGCTAACACGCATTAAATCATCACTAAAAACTGTGTGCGCCTGTACACGAGCATGGAGGCTGCTCTGACATGCTGTAATTTCAGTGTGTTGGAGCAAACTCAATTGACTGAGCCTGCTGGAGTGTGGTAATTACCATGCTTCAGCAGCCTCCCGCATCTCGTATATCAGTGTCCCTGTACTAAAAAATGGCAGCAGGGGAAATTAAACTGAAGCTCATTGAATGAGCTTTAGTTCAAGCACTCCCACAGCCATTAAGTCTGTTAATACATGTGCTGACGCATCCACATTAGCAAAGAACATCAGTATCATAGCTAGAGATGGAACTTGAGTTTTACTCCAATATATTGCCTAGTTAAGATCCTGCTTCTTGCCTTTTTATGAAATTCAACTTGATTCAAATATTCTCACAGTTAAAGATACAAACTAGTCTGTTTTAACCTTCAAACACTTTATCATTAGACATTTCCTGGGTTATAACAAAAATAAAGAGCTTTTGAGTATCTAGTTGCCAGTTTTAATCCATATCCATGGCCAATACAAGCAAGAACAATCTGTTTAGTTGTGTTTTTTTTTGTTTTTTTTTGAAGCAATAAAACTCTTATTCTTGAGCAGAGGGCCTGCAGCCCACAAAGAGACTGGATCCAGACTGTAGAGTTCTGATCCAGTCCACATTTTATTAATATTGCACCAATTCCCAGCTGTCTGATTTGGCCCACATTCTGCATTTTACAAATAGCACACTGATCCCTTCTGGCCCATTGTTCCCGTTATGTACAGAGAATTGCTCGTCTCCTCCCTACAGCCTTTGGTCACAGTCATTGCTGAATAAGCCACTCCAAATTCTTGCTTACCATTTTTTTTTTCGCAGCACATTTTTTGGCTGAGGCTGCGTTAGGGAGGTGAATGAGCAGCCCTGACACGCACATAGCTGGGACAGCTGGAGCAGCTGGAGGGGAATGATGGCTTGCAGCACTGGCTGGGTTACAAGCTGTGGCCCGCCATTAGTAAAAGGTTGCCAATTTTACAAGCAACAAATGTGTTTTATAAGTAAACAAATTGTTCAATCTGTGTCAAGGAGGAACGGAATCTGATTATTTTATTTTTTAATGACTATCTTCAACCTCAAAATAAGTAAGCATATCCTCATTGCAGTACAAATAATTTGGAATTTACTGCATCTAGTTTTGTTCCATGAATCTTTAAAATCAAAAATACATAAAACTTATTAGGAAAAGAACAATATAGACTGGCATAGATGTCTGTGATCTTCAACTTCTGGTTTTAATATAGATAATGGCAAAGTTGTAATTTCTTTTGGAACACTAACTGGAAATCCTAGCTTTCTGAAAGCTTTAGTAGAATCTCAGAGAGAGGAACATGAGCACTGATGTAGTTAACCAAACTACTGCTTAATTGGAGAGTTGCTCAATATCCCTCATCCCAACCATTGTAAATTAAAATTTATGAATATTGAAACTATTGTAAAAAAGGATCAAATTTTATATCTTTCAAAATAATTTCAAGTAGTCCCTCAGGATTCAATATTCCATTTCTAAACAAAAAAATTCTGTTTTCCTGAGGAAAAATACTTTGAATTTTGAAATTTGAATGAACTTACTGTGAAGTGTTAGAAACAGAAGATCAAAACCAAATTTAAATACTCTAACCCAATCTGAATATGTTTTCAGATTTTCAGTTCCCAAAAATATTTTACAATTTGACATTTCACTCTAAACCAATGACTGAACACTGAGATTCATTTTTTGATTTACTGTAACCTGACTCCTGAATTTCTTCCTAGACACAACAGATATTAATGACTCCCCTCCCTTTTGATGGATCTTGGTCTCCCAATAATCAACTTATTTTCGTCTGCTACTTGTTTGTTTGCTACCCCTGGGAATTTGTCTCCCCACCTCCAAATTCACAGCTCTTATCTTGGTTCTTAACATTCACTGTACTTGCTTCTCTCCTCAGAACATATGAAGAATGCCTTGGATTCAAAAGGTTGTCTAACTTTATTCTAACCATGCAGTATGTCCAAAAAGAGATATCATCTGTAGAAATACTTGCCTCTCAAATAATTCCTGTACCAGCACAGCTGCAACATCACACTAACACTACCATAAGTAATGTGATTCAAGCCACCAGTGTGGGTAAAAGTGCTGCCATATGACCCACACTGAATATATTGGGAACATAAAGTAAAGCTATGCATTATTTGCTATAAGTATATTCAACAAAATAAAGTTTGCTTAGATTCTAATAAGCACATTCAACACAGTCATGTATCTTACAATCACCTCCTGCAGAATGAGTTGGAAGGCATACTGAGCATGAGCCAAGACTCAAAGTAAAATTCTCCACTCCTGAAATCTATGTTAAAATTGCCTTGTTTTCTATGCCTGTCTCTGTCTCACTATACAACTATTGGAGACATTTCAGATCCCTATCACAGTTTTCTTTTTTCTAAAATGAAATTAAGATTTACAATTTGTACTTTGCATAAGGATAAAATGAGCAGTAATTCATTAATGCTTTAAAATACTTTTGAGAGCATTAGGTAAAAGGGATACATTTTTGTCTAAGTATTATGCTGACTAGCTCAACAGTATGTTTTACCTGAAATCCTAAAACATTTTTTTTCCAAATGCTGTTTCTCATAAGCATAATAAAGAAGATTTAGCAAACGTACAGAATTTTTTATCTTCAAGCTGTAAGTAATTTTGAGTTCTCTAAGTATTTAAAACTGCACTCTAGTATATAAGCATGGCATTATTAGGCATTGCTATTACTACATTAGGACATCTCAGGCAAAATTGGGAGCAACAGTATCAGAAGTAGTAACGAAGTTTGCTCTGCCTCAGTTTGAAGTACCCTTGTTACTGCTTTTTTGACATGTTGAGAACTTGCAGCTCCTAATGATGTGAGAGTCCCTGCTGGGTTACTGCTCTCTAGTCCCGGTTGAAGAAGGTTGTGCGAGTGAGATGCTTGAGTAATTTTGGGGGCACTTCTGCAAAGGAAAGCATTTTGCAAAACCATGTTTTTATATTTGGATCTCCAGGTTTGGGTTTTTTTGCCCATTCTCACTAACTGCTGCTCATAGATTATTTCTCAGTAAATCTTGGATTGAGGCTTTGCGACAGTCTCTAGTCAGTATTATTGGCTATGTTTTAATCATATAGGCTCATCACCAATGATCTGGGGGAAAAAAGAATTTAAGGTAAAGGAACTTTAACTATGTATTGTTTTTCATGTGCAGTAATACATAAATTCAGAGCTGTATTTATTAATTACCTAAATTTCCATCCAGTTGGTTAGTTGGCTTCTGATGGTCAGGATCTTCATACAGAAAAAAAGCTGAACCATGAATTCTTTTCAAGTCTGGTGCAGTGTCGTAAAAGCTGTTTACAAGATAACAGCTTGCAAAGATGGAGGTGAGGGATTTGCCTGCTGCAGATAAAGATAATTTCTATAGAACTACATATGCAGTTGTCCCCATCTGAGCATAGAAACAGAAAGCAGCAGAAGTATATGAGCCAGCACTAATTTTTAAATATTTGGGAGAAACTTGATCAAATATTTGTATGTGGCCATGCCCCCAATTATGTCAATATGTTGTGCTAAGTTCTAGATCTATCTTAGTGGTGCCAATATCCTCTCTTTGGGCACACTTTGCCATCAGGTTTTCTGGAGAGTTCACTCAGTTAGGGTGAGTTTTTCAATCCTCTGCTAGTAGTCTCCCCTTGTGCTTGATACTGAACCTACAATACCTGCAAATTTCTGAGTGGATGATGGCTTTGTTAGGGAGACTGAATTTAAATAGTCTTTGTTTATAGACTGTTTTTGTTGACTTTGAGTGGTGATTTCTTTTGTTTTTAATAACTACAGCTATGGAGGCTGGTGTGAGGGGAAGGGTTAGCAGTTCTCTGAGATTTTTGTTTGTTTCTCCAAGTGTCAAAAGGTTCTCAGATTCTAAAAGCAAAGCAGAGCTCTTTTCAGGGCATCTTGGATATCTGTGTACCTTAAAGGGAATGCCCTTCTGCAAGCGGAAACTTTTATCTTGGGAAATGAAAGCTACTTTGTTTGATGCTAAAGATGATATTGAAGAACAAAATGAGAGTTATAACGGAGAGGTGTGAGGCAGAAGCTGATTGGGGCCTAATTTGGGGCAGCACTCTGGCTGGTGGATGTCCTCATATTTTTGAGACTTCTGCTTTGCAAAATTTGCTGTGAATAATTACTCCAATGTACAAATGGAGAGACTTAAGCAAGTCAGGGTGGGAGCAATCACAAGGGCTTGATCCTGCAGCTGTTAATCATACATGTAGCCTAGCTGAAGGCAGCATTGAAGTATGGCTTTGAGATTCAATAGGATCAGTACACACACACATACACAATTAGTCTCAGAACTGTACTAGGCTCAGCATTACAGCATGAGTGTCCTGATTCTAATCAGTACAGTGTAATTGTACTATGCAAATGAATACAATCTGAAAGCCTTTTTTATTTATGTACTTGGAATCAGTAAGATGAGAAAGAGTCCTCTGGGAAAACAAACCCATATTATTCACAGCTTCAGATAAATGGTAGAGTTGTTTGTACCAATTGGGAAGTTTCCAAATGAAACTTTCGCCTGCCTCTGCAAACCTACTGTAGACTTACAAAGGTTAGATTTTTGTTTTTTCCTTTCCACATCTAGGTTTCCTCTGACTGCAAGGAAGTCACTGCCCAAATATCACAAGGATGTATTTGTTGTTGTCTGATGTACAGCAGAACTCAAAGGTGCGTAATCCTTTATGCCTACAGCATAATCAATTCTTTAATCAATCAATCCAATCAATCAGTACCTCAATCCTTTATGCATACAGCAGTCTGCGTATCTATTAAATGCTGCATGGATGCTTTTAGAATTGGCAGGCCAGTTTTTGTATATTACCAAATATTGCAAAGGAAAGAATTACATTTATCTGGTTTGTGGACATTTTTAATTGCAAATTAATTAGCTCCATCTGGCCCACAATTTTCCACTTAGCAGATAATAGCTTTTGAAACTTGTGTTGTTTCTGACATGGGTAGGCAAGTACTGAAGACTGCAATTTTTGGCACATGTTATATTCTATGCTTAAATAAAAGTGGGCTATGACCAGCCAGGTCTAAATTGAGCTACTTTTTCTCAGTGCCATAACCTAAAATTCATTTATTACTTATTGCCTTTGCTGGTATTGACTGATAAATAATTTTTAAAGCTAGTAATTTTATTTTTTTCAACTTAAAATTGACTATTTGAATAAGCTCTCTCCAGTTGTGTTTTCCTATTGATTAAATATCTTTGCTACACTACCTAATATAAATGGATTTTTTTTTAAGTCTCCATTGCTTGACCATACATACCTCACTGTATAAACATCAGGCCATATGAGAAAACCAAAAGCCTTGCAACTGCCATATCTACAACAGAGTAAAACTTCTAAACTGAGGGAAACAAAGTTTCTAGAAAAGAGAGAGGGATTTTCCTTTGGCTTAGAAATATACTGTTCTTTAAAGGCACAGAGACAAATTCAGACTAAAGGTAAATCAAGCTCAGGTCACAAGCCAGATTTGCTATAGATAGCTGCTTTGCAAATGTGCTGAGACCCAATTCAGTATCAGTGTCAGAGTTATTCTCCAGTTGTATATTCATGAATGTACTTTGCTCTTTTATTTCTTGTGAAACAATTCCTTTTATGGCATGTGTGGCACTTTGATTATTATGCTAGACACTTTGCCTTGTATTGTGATTGCTTCCATATTTATTGGGGAAAAAAATAATCTAGTCTCTACCTTAGTGCCCTCTGTCTTTAGATCCAAGTGTGCGTTATTTTTAAGATGCACAGTAGTTCTTTGAAAGCAAACTATTTTTTTTTTTTTAAATGGAAGTCTATCACACACAAGTCAATTTATCTTACCTGGCAGCTTGCTTCTTTTAAAGGAAATGTTTTTTTTTTTTTTTTTCAAAAATGCCACTCTTTCCAAGACCAAAATATTGTTTTAATGTCATTGTCTGGTGTTTTGCAGTATTTCCCTCTCCCCCCTAGAATATGTTGTAAAACTCCACTGCCTCTGGGTCTGGCACATGTAGCATTGCAGAGGGTTTTGGTTGGGTGCAATTCCAACATAATGTTAAAAACATGGATAAGCAGACTGACAAGCCAAATTCCAAATAACCAAATAATAAATAGTAAATATTTAATAACTATTTTCAGACACAAGATCTAAATGCCTGCGTGTGTTAGTCCTCTGGCATTGCTGTGATAGTTTGTGTATTAGAAGACAAGAATGATGAGTAGAAAGTTCCCCCAAATGCTCGAGTATGAATACAACAGCTCTACCCTCTTTCTTTTTTTCTACAATACCCATCGCTTTCAGAAAAGGTTGGATTTGCCTCCAGTCCAGGCAGCTGCTCTTACAGAATGAAGGATTAAAGATGGCTTCATTTCTTCCTCCTCTGTAAAGACTTAGGGTGCATACATCCATCTGCTGCATCAATTCTATAAATCATGTAGCTTATTTTAAGCTTCATGATAGTTGCTTGGAACTGGCATTTACTGGTGTTGGAAGCCACACCAGGAACCTGGTGCGAGTAACTTGGTGTTGTGGGAGGGGCGGGATTTTCTATCACAGAGTAGAAAGGTTATAAATCTAAAAAAAAAAAAAAAACAACCTAGTTAAGGTGGAAGGCAGGAATAGTAGGCGTTCTGGGGCTGGGACAGGTGGCTGGGTTTTCCCAGCCCCATAACTACACTCCAAATGCATACAGATACTCACTGGATCAGATTAATTCATTCCTAATTTGAGTTAGTTCACCTACTTGAGTGAACTAATTTAGATCAAGCCCGCCATTTTTGGCTTGATCTAAATCCCCTCCCTAAATGTGTGGGCAGATCAGCATTTAGATTGACCAAACCCTGCTTAAGTCAATCTAAAATATAATGACTGCACGTACCCTTGGATTCTTTCTAACTATATTATACTATATAAACATGATCGGGGTTCCAGAATATCAGCTGGCCCCCCAAGTTAGGTTGAGGCTACAAAGATGAAAAGTCTCCAGTATACCCTGAAAGGACTGATTGCTGTTATAATTAGTTTCTCATTTTTTGTTTCTCAAAGATAGATTGATGTTAGACTGATTAGGCAAGTACCCATATCATAAAACCTACCCCTCACAGTTGGCTCTGCTTAATTACTTTAAGGTCAGTCTCCACAGTATGACCAAAGCTAAAATGATCAAGGTGAATTAACTTCCCCCCCAGGTTTGAAGAAATTACTTCTCCGAGTCAGGGATGAGTACACTCTGGGAAACCCTGCAGAATGGTTTCTGATACTGTACATTAGCTCTAGAATATGAACCCTAATAAGCGACCTCTCTGTAAACCTGAATATGTAATGAAGTAGAACCAAGAGCATTCATATCCAAGTAGTTTGTAACTCACTTAATTCACAGTGGGTTGCAGAATTAAGGACTAGTCATTCAGCTATTTGCTGCAGCTTTTACAGTAAGAGTACTGCTCTTAACAGCTGGAGTTTAGGAGTTATACGAAGTAGCCGACTGGAGAAGTGGTGTTCTTCGAAATTAAAACTAAGGCAAAAAAAACTAGAGTGCCTCTGTGGTCCCATGCAGCCATTTAGTGCAACTCTACATACTGCAAATTAATTCACAAAGACAGCTTCATGGTAGGGGGCTAGGGGTTAGGAATCTAACCCAGAAGAGCATCTGGTTTCTACTGTGTAATTTCTGAGAGTATTTAAGGATTAGAGTATTCTTGGGATTAGAGACAACAGCCTAGACATGCCTCCATTTTTTAACATGAAAAGTGATTTGTTCTCTCAGTTACTGTAGTTGTGCATTGGGTTACAGGAATTAGAGAATATTCCTGTATGTCATATTTGACCTTATTAAATACAGTTGAAGTGGTTACAGTTCAGCACGACTGCCCTGCAGTCCAAGTTTAGCAGCATCAGATGACAATGTCCTACTATCCTTTAACATGAAGCATCTCTAGTACCACTTAAGAAAACCTCAGCAACCTCTTTAGCAGAAGTGCCGTAAGTTAGCCCTGCTCCCTCCTGAAGTACTGCTTCGATCCCCATGTACCCAAACTGCTGCTCTGCTATACATTTCCTTCATAACTTGTTGTGTGCCACACACAGAAGGTGCCCATGCCACTGCATCATGTGTGCTGCACATTGGCCACCTCAGCACTAAAGACTAATGACCTAGACCAGTTTGCAAAGTTCTGGCTTGTCTCTCTCCACCACTGCCATCTTCAGTATAAACAACAGACCTGCTGAAGTGTGCATGCGACTGTCTCCCTCCAGTGGAGGCGGCTTGCAAAAAACCCAAACTTGAATGCAACTAGCAGCTGATGCATATTTCCTATTCCTTTCATTTGATAGATATCCTGCTTTTCTTCAGCAGAAGGTTCATTATTTTCTTTCCCATGTTACATGTGTGGTCTTCTGCATCTTTGATATGTGTACAGTTTTGGATAGTAGCAAAAGTACAAAAGTATTACAGAATAAAAATGAATCAACTCTCGCTAGTGATACTCACACTTTTACTCATCTGTACTGTTTGTGCACACAGTTTATGCAACCAGGGACAGATTCTGCTTTACCTATGAGGGGTTTCGATAGATTTAGGAGCCTGTGTGCAATTCTATTCCATCCTGCTCAGGTACATGAAAAAACAAACAGTCAAGGAAAACTGTAAGTGGGTCCATGGGAGGATCTAGGATTGTGAGAAGAAAGGTGCAGATGGGGTAATGCAGCATAACACATATTTCTATCCAATTAAGAGTCAACTAGAAGCTTTACTAAAAAGTTTGGGGTGTAGGGCTATATTATTTGGTTTAAGATTGAAGCAAAAACAAATATAGCTTTATTGGAATGTGCATTAATTTTTATATATAAAAATTAACTAGGCAAAAATACTCAAAAAGGTACTGTTTCATTAGTTCTGTAATCATTGCAGTTATGAAACTGAAAAAGAAATCTGTAAGACAAAAATTTAGTTTTCTTGATCATTTTGACAGTGCATCCAATATTTGAAGGCGGTTTTCAAACCCAAGTTAATATTCACTTGAGTTAATGTTTTTAGCTAGAGTTAAAAACAGTCTGCTGGGCTGTGAATAGGAACTGCATTACCAAGAGCAGCAAGCAGACAGTAGAACTGCAGAAGGAAGAACAGCTTGCTTAGTGGAACATTGAGACTATTCAAAAAGAGGAAGGGCCATTAACACCTGTGAAATTAAGAGTTTAGAAGGGAACAGGTAGATTATGAGCTATGAAGTCAATCAATTCCTTCACTGCTGCCTGAATAGAAGTGCTACTGTCACTATCAGGCAGTTGTTTTTAAAGTCTGGGCAAACAGGAATCAAAGGGAGATGCACATGTACCACTGCACCATCCCTGGATCCACCCTTATGTGGCTCCTTCTTCCCCTCGTGGTTTTTCTGTGACTCAGTCTTCAGAGAAAGATAAAACTATGCAAATATAATAAAAAGTAGATGCATTCATGAATATTAAGGACTTTAACAGGATGGAACAGTCTTGCTCTTTGGTATCCAATAGGTGAAGTAAACTTTGGTCTTCAGTGTTCACAACGTTCTGAACTTGAGTTCCTTATTAGTCACAAGTAGCACATTTCCGTCACATACAAGGTGGCATTGCTCGATACAGATAAGTAGCATTTTTCAACCTCTCACTAGAATCCTGGCACAGAAGCAATTAAAGTAGCCAAA